TGCAATGGAGGAATGCAGGGCCAAGGCCGCAGCTTGGCCCTGGACCAGTCCGCAATGCCATCGCACTATCACTGAGTGATAGTGCGATGGCACAGCCACCTAATTCCCAGGTGGCCTTACTTTTAAGGTAAGGCCACCTAGCTTAGGTGGCCTGGATGTTCCAGCCAGACCACCTAGCAGCTCAGGTAGGTGGCCTTTCTGGCTGGAACATCCGCATATTTTTTTTTCTTAATTTTTTTTTCAAAATTATAATTCAAATAAAAAAAATTAAATTTATATATCTGATTCAAAAAAATTTTCTTTTTGGAATTAAATAAGATGGATTTTCTTTTCGGAGTTAAATAAGATGAAACTTATAGTTTTATAGGGAAATTAATTTTTTTTACCGTTAAAATCAAAATATCATAAATATGTACATTGAAACACATTGGTACAATCACTGCCAGCATAGATGCCTTGGGTTGAGAAATCCAAGGCATCATCGGAGGCAAATCCTCGGACAGACCTTGTCCGAGGTTTTTGCCCAAGGTATTTCTTTGCCCTGAGAATTACCTCGGATCAAAACCTCGGGAAGCTTCTGTCTGAGGTTTTGCATCCAAGGATACCTTGGATTTTGTAATCCGAGGTAAATATGTTGGTGGTGAATTTGTTTGAAAGGAATATTTGGTTTAATTACTCATCCATTCTTATATATGTATTGATATACATATATAAAATACATATTGCAACATTTCAATTACAACATGTTTGAAAGGTTTGTCCAATATTTTTGGCTTTTGTTAACAAAAAAAAAACTACATATTGAAACAATTGTCTACCTATTGTTAAAGAAATAAATATATACTGGAAGAGTTGCATCAAAATGTGATTGAAAGCATTGTTTGGTAGTATATTTTGGTAATATACTCAATTTATGTATTCTTTTGTTAATGAAAAAAAATTATATTATGGATCGGTTTGAGTAAGATGTGTTTGAAATTTTTTTGGTTGAGATACTCATCATCCCAACTGTTTTTTTTCCTTTTGTTAATGAAAAAAAAATTGAAACAGACTCATTCATCAGATATTTTTGCTGGCATGTTGGTGTGTAGTTGGTGATGGAGACAGAAGGTGATTTGATGAGGATTGCAGAAGATTGAGGACGGTCGAAGAAGATTCAGGATAATCAAAGAAGATTGAGGACGGTCAAAGAAGATCAAGGACGGTTGACAAAGATTGAGGAAGATCGAGGACAGTTGACAAAGAAATAAGAAGATTGAGGACGGTTGATGAAGAAAGAAGAAGTTCAAGGACGGTCGACGAAGAAAGAAGAAGATTGAGGACAGTTGACAGATATTGAGGAAGATCAAGGACGGTTGACAAAGATTAAGGAAGATCGAGGACAGTTGACAAAGAAATAAGAAGATCAAGGACGGTTGACAAAGATTGAGGAAGATCGAGGACAATCGAAGAGGATTGATGATGATGAAAGAGGTTTTGGAGGAGAGCGAGACAGGAAGCAGGTACTTTGAAGCTCTTGAGACTGATGGTAGAATGTCTCCAATCGGAGGTGTTGATACCTGTGAGACCGAGCTTGTAGCTAGTTGGCCAACATGTGGTTTTTGGCTGCAGTAGAATCTAACATTGGTGTTTGAATTGTACAGTTTGAGAAATGTATTTTTTGCTTTTTGGTTTTTGGTTTTTGGTTTTTTGATTTTTTGATTTTTGGTGTTGCTGGTACTTTTTGTCGAAAGGTGACAATGCAATGAAAACAGTGTTGACCACTGGAAATTTGGGCAAAAAGGGGTTTCTGCCATGACTTTTACCCCAGTACAGGGTTTTTATCCCTGTATTTGAGTATTTTCTGTAGTTTTGTCTTTGATTTTTGAATTTCGCACCCGGGGATTGTGATTTTTGATTTTTGAAATTTTGCATTGTCACTTTGGAACGTCTCGCATTCCGTACTTTCCTTTTCCGCACGGTAAAGATTATATTTTTGATAGTGTGATATTCTAAAAGCCATCTCAAGAGATTGAGAAAGCCCTGCATTGTCATACTTCACTACATTTATGTGTTGTAGCAATTTTGGGCGCTTTTTGTTGTGAATTTTCATCATAGCGGAGCGGAGTGATCATAAATAGCACACCGCTCTGAGATGTTCATAGCGCCTCCAAAAAGATAGTGTAGCAATTTGCCCTTCATTATAGCATCAAATTGCTCCGCATGTGATTTTTGGGAATATAGTAAAGCGCAGCGGACCGCCAGTGGTGTTCATACCTTGTGGTGGATAGAAGTTTGGTCCTATATGCCAAGTGAGGTCTTTTGCACAATGAGGTGGTTTTACTTCAGAAAAAAGTAAAACCTCATTATCTAATACATCCACACATCTACAACCACACCTCAGAGCAAAGAAAAAGAACTGAGAATAAAAAGCCAAAGCCAAAGCCAAAAGCAAACTTAAGATCAAACTCAAAGCCAAAGTAAAAAAGATCAATTCATAGAAACTCATAAAATGAAATAAATGTCAAATAAGTGTAGAAAAACAGAATTCAATAGGGGGTTTCAAGTTCTTTTGTTTTTTTGCAAGATTTATAAATTTGGACAAGTTGTTTGTAAAACAAATTATGTGTCAAACCAATGTATCTTGAATTAAAAAGGTGTCCCACTTTGAAAATTTTATGCATATTTTACAACGGCCAAGTTGTTGTAGCGTAAAAATATGTGAAAATCAGCAAGTTGAAACCCCCTAATTTCATTAACTCTACAAACAACTGTATGTAAGAGATTTCATCCCACCAGGCAAAAATAAGGAATGATGTTGGTGGTATTGTAAGGATTACACCTATGTATGGTTTGCCTCAGAAACAGCTGGTCTGATTGCCCGGGAACAGCTCTGAAATTCTAGATGGAAACAGTCCTAATTGATATTCTAGTCAGATAAATCAATTGCAAATCTAGGCCCAGCTCATGGAATACCATATAAGATAAAAAACCTTGGATGATGTGATGAAAAACCACTAAACAAAAACAATGAAGATGGAGAGGGTACAAGCAAGAAACTTCAGATAAGGGTACGATCTGAGAGTGTCACAGGCACGCAATACCACCAAAGGACTGATGAGAGCACAATTGAAGAGAGCAAAGAAGAAAGAGTGAAAGGAAGACAATTATAAAATGAGCCCTTGTTGCATGTGTGAATGTGTGTACATACACGCAGATTGTATAAAAGACAGAAACTGCAGAGACACAAGAAAAAAAAAGTCACAGGAGGATCAAATCATATTGGTAGAACATTTTCTAAATGATCCATCTGATTTTGATGAAGAAATGAGATGAAGCTCTTCAGATATAGGTCATAAAGTAATAATATGTATAGAGTAGCTTCTGGGCGGGTATTCAGCCAGTCGTGTTTGACATATTTCTTCAGCATATTCCATGTCACCTTGAAACTTGATGGAGAAACAATATTATACCTCTGCACCCTATGTACCAATCAGTTATTCCCTAGAGTACTAGTAGTCTTCGTCTCCAGAGAATCTGCAGGACACAATAATACAGGAACCCAAGCTTGCCAGCCCATTCACCCAATCCCCCTGGTCTGATTTTTAATTCATGGAGTATGCTTTTTGTCATTTCCATCAGTGCCTGACCACAAGCTAGCACAGAGCTATCAGACTGCACGGATGCATCTGGAGTAGAATTAGCTTGTGCTAAACTTCTGATAAAGTTGGTCTCTTCGTGGAATTGCTCATCTTTGCTGGGGTTTGGGTTTTCAAGATTCTTGAGAATTACTTTGTTTTTTTGCTCAAGATATCCACTCTGTAGGTATTCTTTTAGGCTGTGGTCCAAATAGCTATGTTTTATTGGACCTGTGGTGGTCTCTGCTTGTTGCTTCAAAACATTGCCAATTTCCGAATGAAGGTTGAGAGCAGGCACAGCCATCACAAGCACCAGAGTCTCCAAGCTCAATAAAAGAAGAATACTTCCAAAATTCATCTTGAATAGACAATCTTTCTTGAAATTTTTCCCAGTTATCTTTTTGCTGTAGATCTGATGGATTGGAAGAGCAATAAAGTACAGATGAATATCTGTGGCTCAATATCTGCCCTAGAAGATGAGCTGACTTACATAGAGGAAGACTTTTGGCTTATTTTGTAGGCCTGATTTTTCTTGGTCTTAAAAATGTGGTATGTGCTTTGTTGTCTAAAGGAGAAAGATCGACTACTTTTAATTTCAACTCCTTAATGTTAAATATGTGTATGATAGATGATAGATTGTGTTGGACGACTCAAGTGATGAAAATTGAAAGTCAAAGCTTGAGAGATCTTTATCAAGAAATGAAGAATTTCTGAAGAAAATCTAAAGAGCAAGAAAGGTGAGTGGAATAACGTGTGGCAAATGTGGAATGATTGGATTTTATTTTTTCTCATAAAACCTCACAACCACCCAGAGAATCATCAGGAGAAATCTCACAAGTCAGACCTGGTATCATACAAGTCTTGGCAATTGCTCAAAAAAGGTATGGTGCCAAATCATTGCATCAATTGAGTTATTGATGAAAATTAGCAGAGCATCACTTAATGTGTTGATGAAAATTAGCAGACTGGCTTGTGAATCAGTAACTTTGGTGTCTGCAAGATTGTGGGGCATCTATAAATAGCAAATGGATGATTTCAAGTAATTCAAATGACAGCGGACAGTGAAGAAGCTGTGCAGCATTCAAACTCATCAAAGTCCCTTGCCACAGGCCCTAGGCTTGAGCAAGTCCCAGCATTCAGATTATGAAATCTGCTCCAAGGGGGCATAGTGAACATAGATTGCTTGTGCAGGGATGTCACACACACTGAAAAAACATACACTGCTTGAGGCAAAACTGTGTGCATATCTCAAGTGACTGCAGCCTGTGCAGCGGATATATGGAAATCAGACAAGTTCAATCAGCTGCCTTAATAAAATATCCAAACTGTATCTTGCAGAAAGAGCTACATCAGAACAAAAGGACATCAAATGAAATATGTTGATTTTACTGGGGAGGAATTATTTGCCTGTACCCATATCCCAAGTACAACTTTACACTACGCCAAATTGCAAATTTACCCCTGAGTTTGGAAATTTGAAAAGACATGGAAATTATAGAGAAGCTGGCAAGGGTCAGGTCAATATGAAAAATAATGGTTGGGCCCTTTGGTGCATTGTAATCATCTGGCATATTTTTTCATATATTTAAAACCACAATGTGTATAACACAACACAAAATATGATACTTTCTGGGCAGAAAATATAAAAACTGACACACAAAGATACTGAGCAGTCAAGAAGAGATAGAAAAATACACAACAATTTGCATATTGTTCCTATGGTTGAGACCTTTGATTTGAGTATATTTTTGTATTTTTAGTGTGAAAATTGTTGATTGTACTAACAAAAACCCCAGGTGAAAAACCCTTCAGGATCATTGGATTACAACCTGTAACAGAGATTGGAATTTGGCTAATGGGTGACAAGGGGATATCTTGAATTTTAAATCCCTCATATCTTTTGCAATCTTGGTCAAAACACTTGTTAATTAGTTCATTAGAAAGCCATGGGCTTCATTTAAATCTTATGTTGAGCCATACAATCTGCATCTCTGCTACAAAAAAATATTTGTCTTGAAAATGTTTAGTATATAGCCGCATAGATATTCTTTGGAATTTCTGCCTGAATGAAAGATATAGTCACAGAGTTTGGCTTTCCAATGAACTACAAATCAAGTGGTTTGACCCAGAATTTAGATGATACAAGGGATTGTTGAATTAAAATGATGCACATTGGTCAAATTCCAATATCTGTTACAGGTTGTAATCTGATGATCCCAAAGGTTTTTTGTTAGTACAATCAACCATTTTCACACTAAAAATACAAAAGAATACTCAAATCAAAGGTCTCAACCATAAGAGCAATATGTTTTTTTTTGTATTTTTCTCTCTCTGTCCGAGTGCTCAATATCTTTGTGTGTCAGTTTTTATATTTTCTGCCCAGAAGATATTATATTTTCTGTTGTGTTATATGCATTGTGGTTTTAAAAATATGAAAAAATATTCCAGATGATCGCAATGCAGCAAAGGGCCCAACCATTATTTTTTCATATTTTTCTGACCCTTGCCAGCTTCTCTATAATTTGCTATGTCCTCTCAATTTTCGAAACTCAGGGGTAAATTTGCAATTTGGTGTAGTGTCATCAGATCATTCTTAATCATAAGACTTCATAGAATCATTCCTGAACTCTTTTTGTACTCAAATGCATCACAATTTGACATTTCATATTACATGCTTGTAGTGGTTGCCATTGATACTTTACATCACATGTGCAACAAGCAATGTAAAGGGTTGAGTTGCACAGATGACAGTCATGCATTTGAATCTGAGCAATTTTACATCACATAAAGTTGCATCACAAAGGATCCATGCAATGTGAAATCACAGCGCAGATGAATCACATGAACCCTTGTAATCTAACCTCACATGTTATGTTGAATCACTTCCAGGACAAGCTACTCAAAATCACATCATCAGTACATCACACAGCACCAATGTGATTGAACATCACAATTCCCAGTGCTTTGTGCTGGTGCTTACCATTATACCATGTAAAAATGTTGCCGGTGTTTGATCGCCAGATCTTCTTGTCTTCATCAAACTTGCAGTTTGACTCGCGCGGAGCAATTGGGACTAATGATTGATTGGGCTCCTATGTGGGGGCTCTAACTTACCCAAGTCCCTCTTAAACCAGCAAGTAGTTGAGAGAGGGACTCATGGCTTATACATGAAATTTGGCGTGTGAGCCAATTTGTTTTGGCTGGCGACTTTTTCAATCCTCAATAGCTCTGTCCCCTGCAAATATATATCCTCTGGACCCAAGAAATGCCTTGTTCGCCTGCTGATTCCACACACCTGAATATGACTCACTCCATATCTGGCCCATTTAATTCAGAGTAATGAGAGGGTAGAGTCTGCAAAAAGCACCACAATTCTCGAGAAAGATATTCAACATGTCAAAACCTCACAGCAGGCAAGCTGGATTGTTACACAAACCTCGATTTTTTAAGTCTGGTTTCTAGCACTTTCTGAAACCCAAGAAATAAATTCAAAAGAACCAACATGTGTAGGTTGAGCAGGATCACAAGGCCTTTCTTAGGTCCAGAGGATATTTACTTGAAGGGGACGCAGCTATTGAGGATTGAAAAGGTCACTAGCCAAAAGAATTGGCACACACACCAAATTTCATGTATATGTAAGCCATAAGATCATCAGCAGCAGAGCCCGTAAAATGTGAGCTCCCAAAAATACGGGTGGTGAAATTGCCAAAAATTGTTGCAGTGGACCCCGTCAAATGCAAGGTGAGTCGTCAAGAGTCTCTGGATGTTTGTCAAGAGTCTCCTGATTTAGGGGGCCAATCAAGAGTCTTGATGTCATGTGCAACTGTGAGTACAAGCATACCAAAACACCTCAATCATGGGGTTTCCGTATCAACACGGGGATTTGTTGGGTTCTTAAGGATAAGGCACCAGAGAAATTAACTCAATAGAATGTATGTATTATTCCCAGTTTAAAACCACAAAAAGAACCTTTGATTCTTATTGAACACACTCAAATTAAATCAACAAACTTTGACTGTTATTCACAAATGAAAACTTATAGTCTTATAACACGTAAAGAATTTTCTCCTTTGATGAAAGGGGCTAATTAGTGAAATTAGTACAACAATAGCAGATTGAACTGTTGATGACACTATTATAATTGTATAAGATAAAGAAAAAGCGGACAAAATTATTACAGAAAGAGAGACACCTTTTATAGTCCAGCTACAACCCTTAATTACAGTCAACCAACTTCAAAAACCATCAAAAACCATCAAAAACACTTAATTTGCACTTTGTAATGTAATGTTACTAATGTATGGCGTGATCTGCACAGCAAATCTTATTCTTCATGTAATGTAATTGATGTACAGCACTTCAAGTGATGCTTACATGTTGAATTTTACTTGTAAAATAGCTGAAAACCGTATTTTGGTATTTCAAAGTTTTTCCACAGGCTGATTTTGATTATTTACATAATTGATTCATGATCTACACGCAATTCTGATCATTAATCACTATCACATGAGGTACTTTGCATGAGTGGTTAATGAGTAATTTCTGTGTAAAGATCTTTGTCAAAAGATCTTCACTGTGAAACGCTGTGAGATTTATATATAAGCCGCATACATGTGTCTTGTGGCCGGTTCTCAAAATTCACAATATAAATCTTTTTGCCTTATACGTTTTTTCACATACACCCGTTACTAGTGGTTTAAGATTTGTACATTATGTAATCACACCTTGCGCGCTGATTGAGCCATCTACCAACCTTGTCTGACGTCATTTAACATATGTAATAACCTAAAAAACTCTATTTTCATCATTTTTCACCCATTTTTACTCTTTTACACAGCATTAGTAATCTTTTTCTGAACTTTATATGATCATCTAAAAATCTACAGCCGTGCAAATCTCGGAAAATCCCTCTATTAACCTTATTTATGACTAATACCACCAATACATAACTTCAATAAGGACCAGGCGCAGTTTGGCCCAAAACCTGCGCGTTGTTGCTAACTTTTCCAGTTCAAGACTAGATTTTGACTTTGAGATTGGCGAGGATCAGCCCAAGATCCATGTAGAGCGCGAGTGACATGCAGAAGGATGTCACTTGCTGACCTATCTAAAACCATGCTTGATGTTTGCAATGTTACGATGGATAGACTGGTGAATGCTGAGCTTGATGGTGATATTTTAATCATCCTGATCCCTACTTATTGATGTCATTAATAGCCAAAGCAGGCCCCTGGATAGCTCCTATTGAAGGTACCGACTAAAAAGGTATTTTTTGCTTTGAATTTTTCTTGATGTTAGGGACAAAAAAAGTATGTTTTCACCCTGTTGGCATCAGATCATGGCAACCTTGGAGGAATT